GGGCCACCAATACCCCTGGGTAATGGCCCTGTGAGCCAGTGATCTGCCCCCAACGTGGCTTCCACAAATCCCTTCATGAATTTCGTATAGAAAATCTTCAACCTGCAAAGGGTGTACGCACCTTAAAAGGGGTCCAGTGAAGGACCTTCGGTAGAGATGTCCGTCCACTGTCAGATTGAATCTTGCCAACTTCAATCTGATCTTGTGTGCTTCCTTATGATCTTCTGGTAGCTTTTCCTCTTTTAGGAATGCAACAATTGCATCCATCCAGCTTGGTTCCAAGTCCACACACATTGCTTCTTGTTCTGTGATTGGTTGTTCTATGCTCGGGCTTGACAGATAGTCAATCATTATTGTCCTTGTTTTTCCAGTTTGTATTGAGCTTGCCAAGTTGGCCAACGCGTCGGCGTGGCTGTTATCATCTCGGCTAACTTGAAGAAGTTGGCAGTTGCGAAATAAGGCTGCCAGCCTGATGACTTCCTTTGCATATGCCGACATTCTCTCATCTCGGGTTGTGAACTCACCTGTTGTCTGATTTATTATAAATTGTGAATCACAAAAATTTATTACCTCATCTGCTTCTGCTGTCACTGCCAGCTTTAGTCCTGCAATCAATGCTTCGTATTCTGCCTCATTGTTCGAGTCCTTGAACCCCAATCGAATAGACTGTTCTAATATCTCTCCATCAGGAGATATTAACACTACTCCTGCCCCTGTTCCTTGCCGGTTTGAGCTCCCATCGACAAACAGGCGAAAGGAGTCGTTGATGTAAATGCTGCAGGGTCTGAGTTTTTCCTTTCTTTGTTCTTTTGCCTTTGGCTGGGCTTCTCCTTGTTTGCTTAGACATTGTTCATCTTGGCTCAACGGAGCCTGATGTTTGATGGATTCTGGCGTGAATTCGGCCACGAAGTCGGCCAAAACTTGGCCCTTAATTGCTGTTCTCGGCCTGAACTTCAGGTTGTACTGGTCCAAGGCCACTGCCCATCTTGCTATTCTTCCTGTTAAGTCTCCTTGTTGTAACAAGGACTTCAGTGGGTGCTCTGTTAGCACTATAATCTTGTGCGCTTGAAAGTAATGGTTCAGCTTCTTTGATGCCATTATTAAGGCCAACATCAATTTCTCTGGTGGTAGGTACTTTGTTTCTGCATCGGCCAAGGTTTTGCTTACATAATAAACAGCCTTTTGCTTCCCTTTTTCCTCTCGGATTAGCACTGCACTTACTGCGTGTTCTGAAATTGCTAAATATAAAAACAGTTCTTCCCCAGGTTTAGGTGTTGAGAGGATTGGAGCCGTGGTCAGATATTTCTTTAGGTCGGACAAAGCGGCCTCACATTCCTCAGTCCATAGGAAGTCCGTGGCCTTTTTCACTAGGTTGAAGTAGGGTTTACATTTGTCTGAGCTTCTGTTGATGAATCTGTTTAGGACTGCGGCCTTTCCAGTTAGCATCTACACCTGTTTTGTCGATGTCGGGCTCTTCAACTCTAGGATGACCTTGATTTGATCTGGGTTGGCCTCAATGCCCTTTCTTGTTACTAGGTACCCCAGAAACTTACCTGATCCAACTCCAAACGCGCACTTCGATGCGTTGAGTCGGAGCCGGTATGTTTTGAGTATATCAAAGACTTCTTTTAGGTCGGCAAGATGACTCTTAGGTTCCTTGGTCTTCACGACCATGTCATCGATGTAGACCTCTACTGTTCGGCCAATCAGGTGTTTGAACATTTTGGTTACCAGCTTTTGGTAAGTTGCTTCTGCGTTTTTCAACCCGAAAGGCATTACTTTGTAACAGTGTAGGCCTTTTGGGGTGATGAATGCGGTTTTTTCTTCGTCTGGGGGGTACATGGCGATCTGGTGGTATCCCCTGTAGGCATCTAGAAAACTCATTCTTCCATGCCCTGAAGTGGCATCTACTAGCTGGTCAATTTTGGGCAGGGGAAAGCTGTCTTTGGGACAGGCTTTGTTAAGGTTGGTAAAGTCTACGCAGACCCTTCATTTACCGTTTTTTTTCTTTACCACCACTGTATTGGATAGCCATGTTGGGTAGTGTACTTCTCTAATGGCCCTGGCCTCCAGAAGTCTGTCTATTTCTTCTTCTACTGCTTCGACGTGTATCAACGTCGGTCTTCTGGCTCGCTGAATTACAGGTTTGGCTGACCTGTCAACGTTCAATTTGTGACACGTGACCTCGGGGTCAATGCCAGGCATTTCATAAGGTGTCCAAGCAAACACCTCTATGTTTGTTCGCAGAAAAGTTTCCAGTTCTCTTTCTTCTTCTTTGGCTAATCCCGAGTTGACAAGAAAGAATCGTTCTTCATCATCCTCCTGGACGAGGATTTTCTTCAGTGCTTCTTCACTTTTCTCGGCTAGCTCTTTGCCGACATCATCTAGGACCTTCATGTCCTCGTCTTCAATCTTTGCCTTTTCTGGCTCTCGAATGTTGCAGGTGGATTTCATTGCTACCATGGAGCAATTCTTTGCCTACAGTTGATCTTTTCTGACTTCTTCAATCGCATGCTCTGTTGGGAACCGTAATAGTTGATGCAACGTTGAGGGAACTGCCCCCATTGCATGCAATCGTGGCCTTCCCAAGATGATGTTGTATGGCGAAGGCGTGTCAATCACCATGAATTCTGTCCTGATCTTCTTAGTGTCGGCTTGTACTTCCAAGCTTGTTGCGCCCATTGGCCACGTCAGCGTTCCATTGAAGCCGACCATCGGGCCATTGGATTGCTCCAAGTGATCAGGATGAAGGCCCAGCTCTTTGTAACATCTAACATACATGATGTCGCAAGAGCTGTCTTGATCAATCAGGATGTGTTTCACTTGGCACTCCCCAACCTGGAGAGATACTACCAAGGCATCATTATGTGAATGCTGGACCATCTCTAGGTCGGCTTCAATAAAGGCTATCGTCGGTCCCTGGCATTCTTCAGGCCGAGGTCTTTTATGTCCGACCTGGTTTACGTGCTGTAGGTGTTTTACCTTCTGGGTCTCCCCTCGTATGTCGTTTTCGTTCACTTTTGAGTGAATTACATTAACCACCCGTGGTCCTCCTGCCTATGGTTGCTATGTTGGGGGAGGCGGAGCTACTGGTGCTTGAGGCAATCTTGCCTGCTCTTCCCTTGTCCTGGCCTCATCGACAAGGTCCCTCAGATGGCCTTGCCTCACCAAGTCTTCTAAGTGTGCTTTTAGGGCTCTGCAACCCTGAGTTGGGTGCTCTTCTTCATTGTGGCAAGCACAACGCCTACCGACGTTTCTTCCCATAAATTCCCCTAGTGTTCTTGTCGGTGCTCTGAAATAGGGTTGGTTTCGTATTTGATCCAGGACTTTGTGTATCGGGACTCGGAATACAGTCGTCACTGCCTGTTTAGCCCTCAAGTCCGTTTCTTGTTTGATCGGTCCATTGTTACCTCGGCTTCGCTTCGGCGAGCCGTTTCCTTTCTCCTGCTTTGTCTCTTTGTTTCCCGACGTATCCTCCTCGGCTCTGGCGTACTTCTCGATTCTCGCCATGAGTTCTTCCATGCTTTTTGGCAATGTCTTTGCCAAAGACTTCCGTAGTGGGCAGTCATCTTTCAGGCCGTTCTTGAAAGATACGACCGCCACCTCTTGGTTGCATTTAGGTATTCGATTGAACACCTCGTAGTACCTTTTTGCGTAGGCCCTAAGGCTTTCATCCTTGGTGATTTTTAAAGCCATCAATGCGTCGACCCTCAAGGGCTGTATTTTGTTCGTCACAAACCTGGCCACAAACATCTCGGCCAGGCCTTCCCAAGTCTTTACGCTTCCCTTCGATAGTTTATAGAACCAATCTGATGCAATCTCCCTAAAGGATGAGGGGAATACTTTGCAGAGCAACGGCTCGTTCCCATTATATAATGTCATTGAATTCAGATATAATCCAACATGAAGGTTAGGATTTGACTTACCATCATATATTTGGAACCTCGACATACTGAATCTCTTTGGTACTTCAAATTTGTCCAGTTCCACCGAGAATAGTGTCTTCAGCTTAGCCGGGGAAGTTATCTCGGCTTCAGCATTCTGTTGCTTCCTCTTGAGGTAATCTCTCAAGTCTTCTTTACTCCTCCCTGGAGCTCGGCTATCTTTGGATTTCAATCTTTCGGCACACTACTTTCGGTCTCGTGGTGGGCCCGTTTTGATTTTTCTCCATGGGTTGTGTCAAAGCAGAACGCCTGCCTTTGAACATGCCGATGTTTTTTGTGCTCTGGGTCCTTCCTGTGATGCGTCCTTCGGGACTCCTCTCGTCTTGGTTCCTCTCATCCGACTTCCCTGGAAGATCGGTGTGAGTGCTTTCCGCTCCTGGTGTGCTGAGGGGCGTCGGGGATTGTTTTCCTTTCTCCCTTCTGGGTATTAGTTGCTGGAATTGGCGTGTTGTGCAGTGGGTACAGTGGCTGCATGACATTGTTTTGCATCCTGAAGTTGATGACCGACTGTCGGTCTGCCAACTTGTTTGTCAATTCTTTTATTTCTTCATCCCTCCGCAGGCACCTATCCCTCCATACCTAGAGGTTATCTTCGTTATAGTACTTGCTTTGGTCTGTCTTCTTCGAAGTGTCGCCCTCCTAGCCGACGTCTTTCTCTCCGTGGCCCTGGTCATGAGTTTTTGCATTGTGGTTGTCTCCTTCAACGTCAAGGTCAATTGGTCTGCCACTCCCAGCAGGAGTGTCGTCCCCAATCTTTTCCTTCTGTCCGTTACTGGCCATCTATTCTTCTAAGTTCCCACAGACGGCGCCAAATTGTGTGAGTGATTTTCTGATCACACTGCACGCTTAGTAATCAGCTAGAGAGCACTGGCAGAATAAATGGCTTTAGTTATCCTGCAACAGAAAGAAAGGGCTCCGGCGGTGGTTCTTCCACCCGGGGGCGCTCCGACGATCAAGTCAGTATATCTCTTAAAGATAATCAAGTGCTAAATTCACTGCTCAAAGCATAAATTGCGTACCTTAGACCCACAAGGGTGCCTGTCTTTTATAGTTTACTTAATCCTAGTCCCACTAGAAGCTTAACTTCTATGGACTCCTGTTCAGTACTTACTTTGGGCTTTTCAAGAGATAAAGATAAACTCTCTAAGAGCTTTGTCCTTATTTTGGCTAAAACTTCTCTTTACTCTAGAACTCTTGTCCCTTATCTTTTATCGACTTATCTCGGATTCCGATATCTTCAGAGATAACCTCGGCGTCACGACTAGGACACGTGACACCTCGGCTGACACGTCGGCGTCACCTTGCCACGTGTTGGTACTCAGAAAATATATCCCCACAGAAAGAGAGACACAAACCAAGAAAAGGCAAGAGCCCTCTGTTGCCTCCTTGCCTAAAGCAAATCTCAATAAGTGGGACATTCCCCTCAGTCGAATACTACTCAGAATCACCAGACCAACTCTATCAGTTACTTTTCCTTATTATCTATTTATTATGCCCCCCTCTTCTTGCAACCTGATCCCATCTGTGCTTATTATTATTTTTCCCTTTTGCATAGAAAGAGTAGAAGAATACTCATCTCCACCACTGCGGATGATGAGGAGATCCCTACCAACTCTCCTAAAACCACCAATCAAACTCACATCCCTTCATCCAACAACGAGCCTAACATATCAACACCAAATCAACCTACTTCACCTTCTCATTTTGAACCACCCCCCATTGATTTCAGGGATGTTACCTTTGGAGCCTTTCTAATGAAAGCCCTATATCCTGGAGAAACAGTGCCTATTAACTTCCTGTCAGTGTTCTCCCCTCATCCATCAACATCTAACTCCACTAATTCTCAAACCTCCATCATGCAACAAGAGAGGATTGACCCTGACCCATCTACAAATGGTCAATCACCTCCTTCCAGTCGACAAACTTCCCCAAAAGAACAAACCACTGAGTCTCCTCCACCTGAACTTCAAACCACTCATGGTAAGTATAATTCAAACTGCTGCGCTGCATCTTTGCCTTACCTTATTCTACTAACCCCTTCGCCATTATTACAGGGACAGAAACACTCATTGAACCACCCTCATCGACCAATGAGCTAGACACAAACCCCAAAGTTGTAGACACAGAAGCAACCTCAACCCAAGATGCTGGAGACACCATTAGCTCCTCTACACATGAGTCTCTCACTCCAGCCAATCTTGAGCCAACTCAGACTTCCACAATTGAGCAAATCCTACCCCTAGGACTCGGGTAGCAAAAATCTGGTTTGGGTGCACAATCGACAGTCAACAAGCAAATCAAGTTTCACAAACAAACAAGAAGATCAAGCAATGTGGTTGTGTGTCTTAATGCCTCGATAGATTCAAGGACTTCTTTGGAGGTTTACTTCCTAAAGAAACAAAGTAGAATATAACAAGAAATTGATTGATAATGATAACACTTGTCACTCAACCATCAAGATCAAATTACAAGTCAATAATCATTACAATCGATAGAGATTTTCAAGGACTAAAATGCTACTGCTAACTACAAGAACTGCTAATGTTACTGCTAACTACAAGAATTGCTACTCCTAAAACACATTGAACTACTCCTAGATTTCTCACGTTGAGAGTTGATTTTTTCTGCCCTCTATCCTTTGAAATCTCAGCCTTTATTCCACTTGCCCTAGTACTCATTTTGCTGACACGTGTCCCACTATGGAGCAAGTTTTTTTCCACTTCTTGCATAACTGCCCATGATCTACACAACCACTTGTAACTACTTCTGTTGGAGCCTTCTCTTTCTCTTCAGTCTGTGCTAACAAACCACGTGTCTTGTATTAAAACATTCCTAACCTCACGGATCCACTCCTAGGCCACATTTAGTCATGTCCCATTGCACTACCAGATGAATCGACAGAAGAAAATGCCTCTGCCACCTTTGTTTCTTTAACTGTTTCACTCGTCACTTGTGTTGCATTCTGGGCCCACATCATATTACCAAACTTGTGGATTTTACTCCTGCTATTCACTGGATGCTTATCGAGAGAGAGAACAATTTTTAAAGATCAAGCAATGTGGTTGTGTGTCTTAATACCTTGACAGATTCAAGGACTTCTTTGGAGGTTTACTTCCTAAAGAAACAAAGCAGAATATAAAGAAAGATTGATTGATAATGATAAAACTTGTCACTCAACCATCAAGATCAAATTACAAGTCAATAATCATTACAATCGATAGAGATTTTCAAGGACTAAAATGCTACTGCTAACTACAAGAACTGCTAATGTTACTGCTAACTACAAGAATTGCTACTCCTAAAACACATTGAACTACTCCTAGATTTCTCACGTTGAGAGTTGATTTTTTCTGCCCTCTATCCTTTGAAATCTCAGCCTTTATTCCACTTGCCCTAGTACTCATTTTGCTGACACGTGTCCCACTATGGAGCAAGTTTTTTTCCACTTCTTGCATAACTGCCCATGATCTACACAACCGCTTGTAACTACTTCTGTTGGAGCCTTCTCTTTCTCTTCAGTCTGTGCTAACAAACCACGTGTCTTGTATCAAAACATTCCTAACCTCACGGATCCACTCCTAGGCCACATTTAGTCATGTCCCATTGCACTACCAGATGAATCGACAGAAGAAAATGCCTCTGCCACCTTTCCTTCTTTAACTGTTTCACTCGTCACTCGTGTTGCATTCTGGGCCCACATCATATTACCAAACTTGTGGATTTTACTCTTGCTATTCACTGGATCACTAGTATGCTTATCGAGAGAGAGAACAATTTTTAGTACCAACAATGCCCTCCTCATTCGAGACAAAAAAATATTTAGTTTTGAATAAATATCACAAGACCTATAAACGAACAGCTAGGCCCACATGGTAATAATAAAATGAGCCCAAATACTAGCACAAAGTCCATACACTACTATAAAACTCATATGTTAATAAGCCCAATTGTCAGCAACAGATCTAGGCCCACTATGAGGGTCCACCATAAGCTTTTTGAACGCCAGAATTCAAACCATCACCATTCTTATTTGCTTTGTATTTTGACTCTTTAATCTCTCTGCTTTGAAACCCTCTGTTGACACCATTTCCATGGTGCCCAAACGAGCTCAAACTAAGGGGAAAAAACAAACAGAAACTCTACTTGTGCAACGTTTCCCAATTGAGTTCCAGCAGGTACTCCGTCAACATGTCTTCGTGTTAAAACCTACCATCACCTACTACACCTACCACCACCTACTACCACCTACTACACACCTACCACTACCACCTACTACCACCTACTCCACTACATCTCCTATATAAGAAGCCCCTCACCATTTGTAATATACAACATACATCAATCAATAATACATCAATTTTAACATGGTATCAGAGCAAGGTTAAGAATTTAGTATTTTTTCGCGTCACTGGCGGGCGGCAGCCTCGCCTTGGCCGCCCGTCGGACCTCAACCTAGTTCGCTAGAATTTTGCTACACATACCTTCACTCTGCTTCACCACCTTTGCCTCGCTTCTGAAATAAAAGACGGCCACCGCCCACTGCAGCAACTCAAACCATTGCTAGCTCGAATTGAGCCAACACTACTCGCCATTGGTGTTTCATGATGCATTTTTTTCCAAAGCTCCAAACACACAGATATCGGTCTTCCGGTACTCCGTCTCACAATCTTATCTGCCGATCTACCCATTCCACGCGAGCACCAAACTTGGATCTATCACAATTTTCAGTTGCCCCTGGCCAGCGACGACCACGCCGCCCAATCAACGCGGCGTTGGTCTGCCCAGATCATTTCTCACCCATTGTTCGTGCGGGCGATACGTGCTGCCAACCTGGCTTGGCTGTCCTGATTTCCCAGTCAAAGCTCTTGTCCTCATACAGCTCTCATCAGTGCTTCTACTGAGCACTGTGTATGGTGATGTGGTTGATTTGGTGAGCTGGGCACAGCCACCACACCACCAAAAGTGAGACTGGTACTTCTCTGGCTCATCTTCCATCAGAGTCGCCATGTATGCAGAAACATGGCCTCCATAGATGTATTTGCGGTGAACCTCAGCATCAAGTTGCTTACTGTCTTTACTGAAACCAGCAAACCTCTTGTCACTGTGAGGAATATCAAGCCCACCATCTAAGGCTCCCTTGAGAGCACCAAAAACACGATTTCCAGTGGTCGTTCGTAGAAGGCCAACATCTAGGAGAGCACGGAAAGGCCTTCTGCTCTCTGCTGGTTCAACAGAGTAATCCTCTCCGGTTGCCTCAACATTTCCCTGATACTCATGTAACCATCTCTCTCTCTCTATATTTCTGATTTTTGGTGAGACCAAACCCACGGTATCTCTCTCTCAAACAACAAAGTCCAATTTACACACGCTGTTCTCTCTCTCTTTTTTTCACTTTCCAACCCATGTGCATTTTTTTTTATTCTACTTTTTGCCAGGTTAATGGATTGAAACTACCAACCCATGTGCACCTTTTTTTCTCTCTTTCATTCTACTTTTTGACCCATCATTCTACTTCTAAATTATCTTTTTGTACCACCGCCCACTCCATGATACCCATTTTTTTATTATTATTATTATTATTATTCTTATTTCAAAAAAAAAAAAAAAAATCATACGCACTCACAAACTATTGCGTAGCACGTGGGTACTACACCTCCATAGATACACAAACCACCATTGTATTTTGAAAACCATGGGCTCCTGCCAAACCAACATCTTTCCATTACAAAAAAAAAATAAAATAAAATAAAAAAATAAAAAATAAAAATTTTTTTTACAAATTTGCACACCAAACCATATTTTATTCATCTCAGGGATCAAACCCCGATCACAATTTTATATGCAAAAAAAAAAAAAAAAAAAAAAAAAAAGCACAACAAAACAAACAACACATCCACAGGCGGGATTTTTCTTATCTACTTACTCTGGCCGCCGGTCTCTTCTTCTTGCCTCCGTCCTGCGCGGCCCTTGACGGTGTTGCCCTCGGTGCTTCCTAGACCACCAAGCAAGTTGGCCTCCTCCTTGCTTCCTCCACTACAGGCATACGGTACCCAAATCGGAACAGCTAACGGTGCCTTCCGCTCAGCTCTCTTATGTTTCCGCCGTTTAGCACGACTATCTCTGCTCGCGCATCCTTATACATGCGTTGGAGCAGAGCCAGTTGGGCGTTTAACTGCTGCACCTCATTTGTCCTACTCTGCAGCCGGTGCGACAAGTTTGTGACCGCAGTCATGGTTTCAACACATGACTTCAATGTATACTGATTCGCCTCAATATCTGATTGCGCTGCCATTCTTTGCTCCACAGACCGCATAGGAAAGGTCAACGGAGCAAACTCAGGGGCGCTTGGTTGAGGTTCACGGGCAACCGCACCAGTTACCTCTCTTGTGGACTCGTTGAGGTCGGGAAAGAGAGTGAGCAGACTACGGGACGAAGAGGCCATGTTATGGGTTGCTGAGTGTTTCAGAGAAGGGTAGCTGCATTATTCCACGCAACAACTCCTCTGCACAAGGGGAATTGGGTCCACCATTTTTTTGCCAAAATACCTGATGAACTTACCCGTGACTATCCTATTGCAGACATTGAAGTGATGTTTTTCAAAAAAGCAAAGCTAGCCTGGCATCAGTGGCATTCAAGCCCTAACCCCTTACATTCGTGGCAAAAACCAAACCCCAACTGGAGGCTATGGGTTCACCAAATGATGGTGTATGACATTGATCTTGGGAGAGCTCTAGGCATCTATGATGCCATTCGACTGTCAACCCTAGCTCTAGACATGGACATATGGGCTATTAGCGCCGCTGCCTGTTTTGGTCCCTGTCATGCAACTCTCTCATCTTAAAGTTTGGTATGATCTCTCTTGTTATTCTTGATGCTGTACATTTGATTGGCCTTCCTACTTCTGGCCAACATATTAGTGCACTCTTAACTCCCCAATCAGTAGTCTCACTTGATACTAACCTTAGTTATGGGAAATTTCAAACCAAATATCAACAATTTTCCTCAAAACCTACCAAAGAGGAGAGAACAGCCTTTCACCAACTGTGGCTCGCCTAACACTTTCTAATGTGTTCCTGGTTTTAAAATCATCAAAGAATATTTGGCCTTTGCCACTTGTATCCAAGAAGGCACCCAATTGGCCTTTGCCCCTTTTCTTCTGGGCACACTACACAGGGGTTTCTTTTTTTTAGTAGACAAAGAGATAGATCATAACTGTGGTGGCCCTTTTTGGCTCTTCCAAGCTTGGCTTTATGCTTATTTCCCTGAGATTAGGCCTACCACTCAGACCCCTACTTCTCTCCATGTGAAAGTTATGCTGAATTCTTCCTCTCCTTTCGACTAGCCTTATCCAACTCATTTACTAAGGTGTTCACTATTCTTTTTGAACTACCTGTCGACAGAGATCCTTAACTTTTCATTCCTTTCCATAGCTTTCTCTTTAGTTCCTCTGGAATAACATACATTAATGTTGAACCCCAAACTTTAAGTGACACTTGGAGGCAAAAGCAAAAGGATTTCTGGGCTCAAGTTCTCACTCCCATATATATCTTAATGGGTGGATCTATCTCTACTAGTAAACTTTCTAATTGCAGTTTTGAGAGCTATAATCCTTGCTAATGGGCTAGGCATGGGATTATACCAAACCGTCCCTTGCCCTTAATTTCATCTTACTATCCATGAACAAGTTGGATCTAGATTCCAATTCAAAGTCTCTCAAGAAGTAAAAGACCTTCTGGCTGAAAATCAGAGGTTATTTGACCAGTTCAGCTTTTATTACTGCCACACTACTCCTTATTCTTCCACAAGGTTAAATGAATAGTGGTCTTTGATGAGTGCTTTGACCTTTGATAAATAACTTCAAGCTTGCCTTTGGAATGTGCATCCTGACAATAGGAGAGGGGTAGAGATGAGCATTGGTAATTTATACATCCCCTTCTCTCCTTATGCACATTGTTTATCTCTAAGTTCGTGTTGATGCTAACTGGCCTTTTTTTTTTATTATTATTATTATTTTTTTAAATGTAGCCAAGTCTCCCACTAAAGCCATCTCAGAGACACCTACTCAGGATACCACAATCTCAAAAGCCAAAGGCAAAGCCCCAATGAATCCCCCAAAAAAGCTCAAAGGCAACCCTTTGAACACAACCAGTTGTGAAGGGTTCATACCTTACAACCAAGGTGTTGAAATTTATCGGAGAACTAAGAAGAGACAAGAAGAAATTCAAGAGATTCTTCCCTCTCAATCGCTATTGGAGGGTGGTGCAATTTTTGAGAGGAGGTCCAAAAGAAAGCAAGAACAACCAGCTCCTTCTCAATCCACAGCACCTGTTGCACCAATCCTTTCTCCTCTTAGCAGCTCTTCCTCTCCACCTGTAATGGAGTCATATTAGGTATAGATTTCACTCAAACCTTGCTTTATAGTAAATCACTATACATTATGTTTGCTAATGTACTGACACTCTATTCATTTTCCTTCTCTTTCAGACATACAAGAGGAGAAAACTCCTCTCTCCAGTTGTATCTCACTCTTCTACTAAAGAGGATTTGCCTGAAAACCAGACCAATCTATCCTCTTCTTTGCCTGAGAATCAGACCAATCTGCCCTCTTCCCAAACAAACTCAAAGCATCAAAATCCCCACCCCATTCAGGAAGAATAGACTGGCCAAGAGAGAATAGGCTTAAGAGAACTGGCCCTTGAATTAGCTCAACTTTTGTCTGACATTCCTCAGGAGATAGCTTTAGGGGATTTGATGGCCTTTCCTCTTAGAGGGGTACGCCCTGAAACTAATGAAGTCATCAACTTTCCTAGTGTGGCTTCTTCCTCAGAAGAATCTCAAGAAGCCCTTGGCCATGCCAGAGAAACACCAATTGACTTAATTGACAACCCTGATAGCCATACATCTCCTGTCGACAGAAGTTCACTTGTACATGAGCAAGATGATGACATCCATCAAGATGACCATTTTCCACTCTACAATCAAGGGGATGAGGTTGACAGAGCTGATACTGAGGTCCTAGCTAATGAGTCACCTTCAAGTGACATGAGGACTCCTCATGAGGGAATTACACACCCTTTCAGCAAACATGCTCAGTCTCCCTCTACCTCTACACAACAATCGATGGAGGAAGTGTCTTCATTCCATCTACCTCCAGTAATAGATGCCTCCTTACCAATCCAAATTGAAGTTCCTATGGGTCAAGGGACTTCAATTTTGCCCATACCAATCACCTTGGACGTGGGAGTTCAAACCTCCTACAATTCCAATCCTGTTGGAGAATCAATCACAAGTGCCTTGGCCACAACCATTTCTGAAGTTCAAGTATTTCCTTCACAGGTGACATTCTTTATGCAAGTGTTTACCTTATCCTTTATTTCCTTTTATAGCCTAATCATGCTTTTGACTACTCTAACAGACTGGCATATCCACTCACAAATTGGTCACTACTGACATGGGGGTACAAACCACGCCATCTCAGGGTCCCTCACGAGAGGCATTGGCCACCTTCATCTTACCCAACACTGGAACTTCTACCATGCCTTCAACAGAGGTAACACAATCTCAAGTTGTTCATTTTTCACAATTTGAACCAGTTACTGACTTAAACTCTCTATTGTAGCAGCCCACAGTTGCTCCTCTCCAAGACTTACTTTTAGGCATCTCTGCTGTTCAACAAACTGTTGCCAACTTGACTATCGAGGAAAGATTGAAGCAACTGTTTAATGAAGAGCAACAATTGATAGACCAATTCCTCAAAATACTTGGCCAACCTCTGGATGATTTGGCTCTTTCTCACACCACAGCTTTGACTGACTGTTTGGAAGCCATTGCGCCTCTGATGCCTCTACTCTTTGACCCCGACCAAGTGTAGGCTTTCCAAAACTTCCTCTCAGAGTTTCCACAACACCTAATGGCTATTAACCAATTGCATGTTGAGCCAAAAAACATTGAAACCCAAGTGGATCAAGTGAGAATAGCAGTCAATGCTCTGACTGAGGCCTCTACCAGATCACTGGCCCTCATTACTCAACTTGCCATCCTCATAGCAGAAGAGGCTCAACTGGAGGCTCAATTGGCACATGTGAGAGCTCAAAAAGCTGTTGTTGAACAGGAACGAGCCAACCTTACCCAACAAATTCCTAGCCTTCTTGCTCAAGCAGAAGGTGGCCCTCCTGCCATTAGACGAGCTCAAACCAAATTTAGGCAGAATAAAATTAGGCACCAAACTGCCCTTTAAGCTTGGAGTAGGCTTTCAATGTACTTTCAAAAAGATTAGGCCAAATGTAATATCTTGATTGCATTTTTGACATAATCCTTAATGAAAGATCTATCATATTTACTCTAGCTTTTCCTGACTTGTCACATATGCTCATTTCCATGCTTTTATGGCTTATTCATGTACTCCCACATGGTTGGATAGTATTTCTTTAGGTACTTGCCATTAATGACTCTTCTGTGTGGTTCACCTTTCAAAGAGGCAAGATGATAAGCTCCCCCCTCTAAGGACCTTGTGTATTTTGAATGGATCTTCCCAATTTGGGGACCACTTGCGATATTTTGGGCTTTTTAAGCCAATTGGTAATATGGTTTTCCACACTTACTCTCCTTCAGAAAACACTTTACTTTTTACTTTCTTGTTATAGCTTCTCTTAACTTTCTTTTTCTAAGCTATCAAATGATTAAAGGCCATAATCCTTTTTTCCTCTAAGCCTTGCAACTCAATCAACATAACTTCAGTATATTCATCCATAGGGATATCTAAATGTCTAGCCAATTGACTAGACCTGACTGTCACTTCCAAGGGCAACACTGCATCATGCCCATATACTAACTCATATGGAGTTGTACACGTGCTATCTCTTTTGGAATTTTTTTAAGCACAAAGCACTTCTGACAGGAGATTATGCCAATCCCTAGGATTGTCCTCAATCATCCTTTCTAAAGTGTTCTGGACAATCTTGTTTGTTGCCTCAGCTTGCCTATTTGCCTAGTCATAATAGGGTGAGGAATTCAATATCTGAATGCCATATTCTATGGCAAACCCCTTAATCTCATCCCCATTGAACACTGTGCCTTGATCGACAGTAATGGATTAGGGTAAACCAAACCTATGAATCACATTTTTTTTTAAGAACTCAATGACTTGAGTCTGTGTCACCGCTTTTAAGCGCACTGTTTCCACCCATTTAGTAAAGTAATCAGTGGCCACCAATAGGTAAGAATGTGCTTTTGAAGAGGTTGGGAAAATTTGCCCAATTAAATCAATTGCCCATCCTCTAAAAGGCCAAAGCT